GTGTTTTATTGTATGCTTAGAAATTTTGTTAAAAATGTTTCTTTAAGTGTTTTGAATTAATGAGGATGCTATTTATTCAGTTAGCATATTAAAGTCTTGAAATTTGATCCAGTAGACGTAAAGTTTATCACTTAAGTTGTTGCCTTATTGATGTCTCAGTAATTGTATTATGGAATTATATGCTTTCAAATAAATATTTTAGTTTATAGGCGTTTTGGACCTTATATTTAGTTTATTAGACTTGTATTGTAACATTATCGTAACGTCTTAGGCTAAAAATTGTGAACAAAAAACTATTATTATGATTTCACTTGGATTTATTTGGTATTTAAATTTATAGTAAATATATTTAATTGTTTTATATTTATTGCTAGTAAGATATAAATACATATTGAATTCAATGAATTAATGACATAAAATTAGACATGCAAAAAAATATACGACGAAACAGGCGGTTTAAAACCGGACCAAACCGTTAGGTTTATATTTAAGTTTATTTCAAATCGTTCAAAATGGTTTGCTTTAGGTTTTAGTTTTTTTTCAAACCGGTTTAAAAGATTTTGTTTGAAAATCTGTCAAAAATCGGATTGCTTACACCTCTAGAGACCGAAGAAATACACATACATGGATAATAGTCAAGATTGTTTTTTCTCTTTTATTTTTTTTTCTATTTTTATTTTTATTTTTTTCCACCTTTAAATGCCTTGTTGTGCCCATTCTTTTAAAAGCGGACCCTTATTTGATCTCCATTATTTAGTCTCTATTCATTTGAGATTTAAGCCCCTGTTTGGTGTACATTATCAATTCAAGAATTATTTTTTTATTGATGGGGAATATGTGGTTGAAAAATAAAAAAAAGTTATTAATGTGATTTAATAAAATAATACTGTACGTAAATTCAAAACATTTCATTATTTTAACCACACATTTTTCATCAATCTACTATCTAAACATGCCCTTATTTTCAATCACGTATTTTTTCAATAAAATAATTTTGTTCTTAAATTCGAAATTTTTTCATACTTTTTAACTATGTATTCTCCGAAAAATCACTATTACAATATATATTTTCCTACAAAATGGAGTTTAAACACACTCACAACTTTCCTCATTTTTTTTAATCAAAATTTACTAAAAATTTAATATTAATTTACACCAAACAGAGACAATATTAGATATTTGACTTAACAGTGGTTAAAAGGTAAATCTTAGTAAGCCCATGTTTGACATCATTTAATTTATTTTTATTTTTTATGTGTGATCATTTTCAACCACATTCATATAATAAAATATTCATATATAAACACGTAATTTTTTCCCACTTTTTAACCATTTATTCTCCAAAAAATACTATTCAAAGCAATGTTTTTTAAACTTTTAAGAATGTCAAACGGGGCCTAAATATATTTAATAGACTCAGATGAAAAGTTTCAGCATTTGTTTGTGAAAATTAAAATTAAAATTTTAATCTCTAGGTCAATGTAAAACAATTAATTTTAATTATATATTTAATGAGACCTACGACTTTTCAACCACACATTTTTTTAACTTTTGTCAAAATTTACTAAAAAATCTGATTTTAATCCCATCAAACAAGGGCTATACATAAGTATAACTATTTCTTCTTTGTTGTGTTTGTAAAGTGATCGTGCATTTTTTATATGGGGTCGAGATATGGAAGACAGGTATTTCGATCATGAAGGTTTATAATATCATGAGCAAAAAGGGGACGACAACAATGGTTGTTTATTGCTTAAACGTCAAATTCGATACTCCTCTTTGCTGTTTCTATTGATTCGACTAAGTACATTGAATCAACTTGACTAGCAGCAAAAGCATAATCTTGCGGAATAAAATAAAAGTCAAAGTGCAGTTTCTGTAGCCACTTTGTCAATATATATTTATTATCGTTACTTCACGCGATCGCTATTTGGTACCGATTAAAATCTAAATTTTAATCTAAATTTAAGTCAATAATTAATTATAACTACA